AGCGCGCCCGAGGCTGCTGGTGCTCAGGGCCCCCTCCACTGCCCGGTGTCCAAACCTTCCAAGAAGCCACCGCGCCGCCTCCCTCCTGGCCTGGCTTTGCCCCTCTCTCCTGGCCCTGGGCCCGCCCAGCTGCCTCTGCACCCCATGTCTATCCTTCCGCTCCCAGGCTTCTTTCTGCTGGCCGAGGTGCTTGGGGGCTCGGGGCTCCCCTTCCAGGGTCTCCTCTGCCGGTCTCCGCTAGGCTCTGTGGGTTTGGTTTTGGGGGTGGCCACTCCGCGCTGTGCCCCAGCCCGGCAGACTGCTGGGCCCTCCAGGCCTGGCATCCGGGAGGCTGTGGGCAGGGCGGTCAAGTCTGGCAAGTCCCCCCGCCCCCCCGCAGGCTGTGCTGGCCTCGGGCACCTGTGCAGGTGCTTCCCGTGTAGCTCTGCTGGGTCCTGGGGTGCGCTCGAGCCGCGGGGTGGACAGCCGGGGCTGGACTCCAGGGTCAGGGAGGTTGTCAGAGTGGGTGCCGGGCCTTTTGCTGAGGGGGTGCCGTGTGGCACAATAAGGCAGGTGGCCCTGGTCCCCCCGGGCTGTGGGTAGGGGCCGGCCCCTCCAGGCCCTGAGCTGGGCTCTGGGCTGTCCAGGTCGGGCGGCCCAGGGCGCCTCGTGAGTGGGAGCAGCAGTCAGTGTGGCCGGCACATGATGCGGCCTCGTGTTTGGACAGGGCCCCAGGGCCTCTGCGAGTGACCGCCTGTGGGGTGGGGGCGGGGGCCGGGATGCGCTGCCCGGCTGCAGCCCCACTGGGGCGGGGCGGAAGCCCTGGGCAGGTGCAGCGTGGAAGAAGGACCGGCTCCCCGGAGGTCTGCTGGCCCGCGGCCCCGGCGGCCCAGGGGCCGGCCTGCGCTCCCCGCGGGGAGCTGGTTTCTCGCCCCTGGACTCGCAGGGGCTGGCCGGCCTCGTCTTCGGGTGCCGCTGGTGCCTTGGGCTGGTCGGCCTCCTGCAGCGCCAGGACAGCTGCCGAGGACACAGGAGGCTCGCCGAGGCCGAGGGGCAGGGCGGGAGCACCGCCTGCGGCGGAGCCGATG